CACGCAACTCATGTTAGCATTAACAGGAATTACACATACACAAAGATTGGAGAGTAGGCCCTATAACAGCATGAAAACAATCATTTTTTGACCAGTGACAAAAGGTACCATACAGAAGTAATGATTTTGCTTCTGGCATGGATCAGCCAGAGAAAGGTGGGAGTGTGCCATATAAAATAAAGAGGTTTCAGTACTGAGAATCTGGGAAATTCAGAACAAACTGAAAAAAAAATTCTGAACAAATAAAACACTGTTTTAGGGGTAGGAAGAAAAATCCATTCGTCCATGTTTTTACAGTAATACAGTAGTGTACAAAATTGGCATAAAAAGGGAACAAAATCCATGCCCCACCATCACACTCTTGTGAATGTGTGCATTATGCACCTGTAAAATAAAAAGGTTGGTAAATTTGATTTCAGACTGTAAGGTGAACTGGCAGGGAGAGATTCAAACACAGCTCTGAACTTCTGCTTCTCCCTGATCTCTCAGCTTGTATGTTTCATGTAGGCCTAGGGCCCGATTCTGTCATCTCATGATTTTATACTGTGTTATTCCACTGAATTCAATAGAATGAATTCTTGATTGCACTTGTCAAAGGATGATCAAAATCCAATGTTGACTCCTGCTTTGACTGTTCCTAGTGTATTCAGAGCTTGTACTGACTTTCAAAATAGGAAGAGGAGACCAGAAAACTTCTTTTGACACATATTCATTTACCCATATGTAACCTACAAACACCAATTACCCATCATTTTTTAAACTGTTTCTATGTCTTTTTCTTGTGAGCACTTCAAAGATTGTTGTCATTAAAGCAGACAATGAATAACATGCACATTAACAATTTGAAATCTGATTTATATTTGCATGCTGTTCTCTTACCTTCTGTGGCAAAGTATTCAAGATGGCATAGTGTTTGCTCCATATATTGGGAATCTTTTGAAAGTCTCTCAAAAATGACATTATCCTATTACAACCAAATTACAAAAAGTCAGTTCAAAAGTAAATTTTCCATTCAAAATGAGTATACAGGTGCTCTAGCCCTGCAGATCTAACAGATATGAGGTGCATTAAATGGACAGAAAGCCTATAAATATGATTAGAGTAATGTATTGTGATTGAACTATGACACAGATCTAGGTCTACTAAGAAATCCAAAGCTGGAATGTTGCAGCCACCACCACCTCATAGAAATTCTAAGCAAAAGGAGAAAGGCTGGGAGATACTGTAGTTGCTGTCCAAAGAGGGTGCTCAGAGAACACCTACAGTTTCTTTAGCTTTCAGTTACCACAAAGTCATTATACTGTTATTCAAGTCTAGATTTAAAGCTCCATTTTGAATTACGGAATTAGAGAATAAAGTTTTCTAAGAACAGGAGTCTTGAACAATGAAAGACATGAATCCACAGCAAGCCCATACTTATCTTGCTAACTCTCCCAAGATAAAGCTTCCATTGATGTTAAGGAGAATTTTAATTAAGAAGAACAAACAGAATAAGAATTAATGCAGGCTGCCCTCCATTGTTGGGAACTATCTTAAAGGGACAGCTCTCTACTGTGGGTGTCTATTAATCAAAATGAAGATGTGAATGACCCCTTGCTAACATAATTGAATTAGCACAGGTAACCACAGTGGTGAAAGACACAGCAGTATGGACTTTAGTATGTGCTAGCAATGAGGGTAGGGGTTTAGGTTGTAGCCGTGTTGGTCTAAGGATATAGGCAGACAAGGTTCCTTGGGTGAATTTGACATCTTTTATCAGACCAACCCAAATGGTTGGAGAATAGTTATTAAGCAAGCTTTCGGGTTCAAAAACCCTTCGTCAGGCTCAGGAAGCTGCAGCAGTTGGTGTGTGCTCTTCCTGGATGGAATGAAAAGTAAACAAGCCCGGGGCTGGGCTGGGCTGGGGAGTCAGTTGCCAGGCAGATTGTAATGTATCAAAAAGCCAATGTCTCTGTTTAGTCCCTGATCTCTAGTATCCAGCAGGTTGATGAAATGGAGCTCATAGGCTCGTCTCTGGGATGTGTTGTGTAAGTTTGCCTTGAGGATCAGGACTGAGAGATTGGAGAGAGAGTGGCCCTCCTGTGAGAAATGTGCCCCCACCGGTAATTGGGTGTTTCTGTCTTTGATGGATTTCTGGTGTGCATTCATTCTGGTGCGCAGTTGTTGTCTGGTCTCTCCTACATATCTTCCATCAGGGCATTTGGTGCTTTGGATGAGGTACAGCTGCACCTCCAGGAATGTAATACACCTCATCCAAAGCACCAAATGCCCTGATGGAAGATATGTAGGAGAGACCAAACAACAACTGCGCACCAGAATGAATGCACACCAGAAATCCATCAAAGACAGAAACACCCAATTACCGGTGTGGGCACGTTTCTCACAGGAGGGCCACTCTCTCTCCAATCTCTCAGTCCTGATCCTCAAGGCAAACTTACACAACACATCCCAGAGACGAGCCTATGAGCTCCATTTCATCAACCTGCTGGATACTAGAGATCAGGGACTAAACAGAGACATTGGCTTTTTGATACATTACAATCTGCCTGGCAACTGACTCCCCAGCCCAGCCCAGCCCCGGGCTTGTTTACTTTTCATTCCATCCAGGAAGAGCACACACCAACTGCTGCAGCTTCCTGAGCCTGACGAAGGGTTTTTGAACCCGAAAGCTTGCTTAATAACTATTCTCCAACCATTTGGGTTGGTCTGATAAAAGATGTCAAATTCACCCAAGGAACCTTGTCTGCCAGCAATGAGGGTAAGAACTCACCTTCATACCTAGTTGCTAGCATATGCCAAAGCCTGCATTTCCACAACTGTGGTTCCCATACTAGCCAGACTAAGCAAACCAAGTGGCACAATCACATTTCCATTTGGTTACATCTAACTGACAAAGTGGTAATTGGAAGAACTGCCTGAGAGATCAGAATAAAGAAGTGTCATAGATCAAAAGAGGAATTTCATTTTTAATATTCAGATCAGCTTCAATGCATTTAAAAAATAATCCATAAACTTTATTTTTTTTGTTATATTATGAGACCAAGATGGGAAAATATTTAAGATTATGCCCCATAAATATTAATTTATTTTAGAGTTACAGCAACTATTTTTTCTTAACCAAAGTCTCCCTTGTCTTGATTTTGTCTGCCCATATCTTGTGGTTGCTATAGCTCCTTTAATGCAGCTCTTGGCCTGAATCTGTTCACACTGAAGTCACAGGCAAAATACTCAATGAAGCAACACTCCTCTTTTTTTCCCCACTCAGTGCAAGAATTGTGGCATGTAACAGCAGCTAATACTTAAGTACACTAAACTTACAGCAAATGAGAGAAAGAGTACAACATGAGTGGTAACAATAAGGTCAGAACTGGAAATGAAGAGATGATATACTGTCAATTCCATTGGCTCTTAGTGGACTTTATTTTTCTACCACTTTTAAATAACACATTTTCAGTGAGCTTGGCTCACAACCTTTGTTCCAGTTTCATGGTGGCATAGTTTCACTGACATTTTCAGAGTTACGCTGGTATAACTCATGCATTCTCATTCTGTTCTTATGCATATTGTAGCAAATAAAAAGCTTTTCTGTTTTAGAGCTGCAAAAGCAGCATTTCCCACATAAAAAAATTTCACAGCAGAACTGGACACTTTCCACCACTTTCTTCTGAAACCAATAACCACACTCTGTATGTAACTGTTGTTGACACTAATCTGTAGAGTGGTTGGATATCCCTCTTGCTCATGAAGACAGCAACACTGTGACATGAACAAGGATGACAAGTAGCATTAAGTGCAGATCTGTGAGAAAAGGGATGATCAAAAGAGATGGCACCAAGCAATTAAGAGTTTTGCAGGTTCAAACCACAGTACAACAAAAACCAGAATCTTTGCAAGGTTCAGTTTCTTAGCCTTCATGAAGGTGAGGGTTTGTGAGCCAGCTGGGGTCATGTATACAACTGCAGCAAAAGCTGTGAGGATCTGGGGAGGGGCTCCAGCTGTTTGCTGTGGCTTTCATTTTAAAGAGCACCATTTCTCCAATCAGCTGTGCAGGACTATGGGTAAGCTTCAGCTTAGTGGAGAAGCAACACCCTTTAATAAAGAAAAAATGTGGCAAACACCAGAATGACTTGTCCTTAACTGGACAAACAACTATAAATCCAGCAGGCTGAAAGTCACTCAGATATAAATAAATCCTACAGCATTAGGGTGTCCACTTTCCTGGTGGCACCTGCATATTGGCATGTACTCCTGGTTTTCAAGGCTCCCATTGACTTCAGTTGAGTAAGGATTTCAAGCTAAGGTATGGTAGAAGTCTAATTTGAATTATTTCTGCCTGCAAACAAAATCAGGAGAATGGATCACAGCTCTTTAAAACATTTGCCGTTAATGTGTAAAGCTTATTGATATCATGTAGTAGACAGAAACATTTACGGTTTTTTTTTTGTTTAAAAAGAAATAGTAGAAGACTAAGCAGTCACTGTTGTCCCCATTCTCTGTGAGCAGTAGCTGACTACTTACCGCCCCTTTGCAGTAAAGACGTATTTGTCCTGTTGGAGTTCGAACAATTACGGACATTCTCTTCCTGTTGCTATAAAGAAAAATTAAATCTACTCAGTCATTTTTATCATCTTCTCATTGGAATGAGTGCAGCCTAAGAGTAAAAAACAGCTTGACCCAGGAGTCATCTCCCATGCACCTAACCTAGTTAAAAATTAGGTTAGATGAAGGCTAATAAAAATTTACAATACCCAAACTATCTGACAGTTGCAAAAAAACTAGCTGGTCTTTCCACCTTTTGTGCCTTTGGGTGCCTTAATATGAATTCAAAGGGTCTGGTTTTCAGCAGGTATGCATATGTATGTCCAGAATGCACATGCATTTGCATGTCTAATGTATAAAGGGAATTCAGAGAATAGCAACAAAAATGATTGTGGAGATTCCAGGAAAGAATAAAAGCTTCTGACAAAGTGTTAGTTATATTGACTTGCTAATTATTTCCATTCCATATTTTTGACCCACAAAAGGGAAAAAGTATTGGACTTTGCTAAATGACCCTAGATTAACTAGGAGTAATGTAATAAAAATGAGAAAAGAAAAATTGTCTTGAATGTTGGGAAAAATTGTATTAAGCACAGAGGTATATGAAACTCTGACCTACTGTCCCATTGTAAGTGAGGATGATCCGTAGAATCATTTAAACCTGGACTGGACAACCAGATACAAAAATGTACTGCAAGGGACAACCTTACACTAGCAGGGGTATAAACCAGATTACTTGAGGCTTGTTCCCCTCCCCCCTTCCCTCCACAGGTTTTATGCAGATTAAGGAACCTAGGCACAGATCCCCTGGATGAAGCAGAAGGGTGATATTATAAACCCTTAGTGAGATCCAGGTGATAATGCAGAAAGACCAATGAAAAGAAAATAAAGTCAAGATATTTAGGCTACAGATAGACCTACAAAAAGCCTGAGCCCGAGCTGATTCAATCTTTGCAGGTTAGCCTAACCTGGCTAGGCAGAACCAGTTTGTAACTCTACACACACTCCCTCTGGACTGTAGAAATGCCGGCACATGCCTGCCGTGGCTCAGGCTAGAAGCCAGGGGACACTAGAGCAGCCCTCCCTTCCATTCTACACTGCTGAGCTAAGGGTGGATGTGGCCAGCCCCGGCAGGCTGCCCTGATTGGGGAGGGGTTCTCCCTCCTCCTCCTCCCTGCTCCTCACCAGCCCAGTAGGGAGTTGATAACACCCCATCAAGAAAACAAAAGCTTGTCTTATTAGTTCAAGCTCTTTAAACAATTTTTTTCCAAAGAAGGAACAGAAGGACATTACCAGCTGGCCTGTTGATTAGCTCCAGTAAGCCCTAAGCAGACACTGTCCTGTCTTCCTTATACAGGCACCACTCAGCATTAGCTAGCAAACCACATGCTGGCTACAGTCTGTGCTGTGGGAGGGGGGAATCCCTGCATAAGAGGGAGGGAGGCAGGGCCAGCCCTACTGGGCTGCAACACATCTGGGATGCTGGGGTACTCTGGTTTAAGTTAAATCAGGAAGGGGTCTGGGACAGACATTGCATAAACTAGTTTGACTCAAATCAGTTAAGTCTGATACTACATTCAACCAGGTTTATCTCAAACCAGTTTCAGCCATTTTCAAACCGGTTTATGTGCACTGAATGTCTGTTCTGTTACAGGTTTAAACTAGTTTCTGATCACTTAAACCAGTTTATGCGTAATGTCTGTCCTTAGCCCCAACCTTGCAAACAAAGTTTCTTGCTTTAGAACTTACACATTAACAAAAGCTGGATAATTCAAAATCAAAGGGATAAACAGTAGTAGACACAGGTATCCCCTGCAAGCTACTTTTTCTTGCTTGCAAATTGCATTTTGGGAGTTTCCTCCATATTTTCTATAGGAAGTAGATGGTGCTAGAGACAGACTCTCCTACACATAGGCAGACCCTCTAACCATCACATGGCATTTTGTGCCCTTTCCTAATAGAGATCTGTGCACTAAGGACTCAGTAAAACTGTTAGCAGATGGTCAACTTTAAGCTCATATCCCAAGCAAAATAAAAATATACAAATATCAAAGTGAAAATTGTTTACAAAATCTTAACACTGCCCTTTATACATATGATAGAGAACATGGATTTTCTCCCCTTCCTTACAAGAATGTCATATCAGTCTAACCCAACTGAAAAATACACTGGCCACATGTAGACTTTAAAGTTTCCATGGGGAAAATTGCCTCTCTTCCAGTCAAAACAATGACCCTATAAGTAAGTGTTCATTAAATTTATCCCAAGGGAAACATGCCCTTTGGGGAGCAAGATGATCTGGGTATCAACCTAGGTTTACCCTATGAGAGAAATTCTCTTGCAAGAATTAATGCCTGTACGCTCCTCTCCCACTCTGGTACAGGAGGGGAGTGGAGCAGTGTGGGAAAGCCCCCTACCTGTTCCCCAGACTAGGTTCCCAAGTCTGAGGAGTGGACAGAAGGTTTTGCCCCATTTCTCCAGTCCCCTTCTGGACCAGTCTATGAGAGTAGAGGACAGTGGCAGGAAAAGACTCCTCCACCTGTTCCGAAGACCTAGGTCTTGGAACCTAGGTCTTCCCCTACCTGGTTGGGGAAAGGTGGGGAGTCTCTCTCTACAATTCCACTCCCTCCACCCCAACTCCAACCCAGAATGTAAGGAGTGGAGCAGCCACTGCTTCCCATGTCTTCCCCAGATCAGGATCACCGAGTCTCAGGAAGGCAATAAGAGCACAGGAGACAGAGCAATTATAGGCTGAAAACCTGTACCACTCCCTCTCCTAGACAGACTTCCAGCGGTGGAAGGTTTAAAACGGTAATTTAAAAGGAGCCGTGTTAAAGCAGCCACTTAAAGACTACTCTATGCCCTTACCACTGAGTTTGCCAATCTCCGCTGTTATTTGACACAGCTTTCAGTGGCACCCAGTAAATTGCTGGGGGAGGGGCGAAATATAAAGTACAGAAGGGATCAAAGCAGCAGGGGTAAGGCACTGGCAGCCCACGGTGCCAGCTGGGTCTCAAATGCCTAGTCCACTGCTCTGAAAGATTACAAAATCGCTAACATAGAGAATCAAGCCCTGTGAATGAAGCAGGGCAAATGAAGCATACATCCTTGTTCTGTGTCCCACTGTTTGAAATTCTGAAGGTATTCTGGAAATAAACAGCATGCAATAATGTAATCATCTTGTAAACAAATATACAGAAGAGTATCTACTGAGCAATCTTAACACGGGCATTTCTGGACCCGAGGACTTCACTTTGCAACCTTTCTTTTAACACAAAATTGGCAAGACCTCACAAAAGTATGTGCACCTTCAAACATTGCCTGAAATGAAGCAGGCTCCAGGTCTACTTATAGAAAAGTCCTTCTCTTCCTTGTTTCCTGAAGTGAATTTCCTCTAATAGATTTCCCATGTTGAGTTTCCTACACATTACACAGTAACTTGGGCACTGATTTTAGGCCATGCAGAAGATCAAGGTGACTAAAGAGTCAAACTAGATGTTGGACCACAGCACTGTGAAGAGAACTGCAAAAAAGTTCTCTCTCTAGTTGAACCCAAAACCTTGATGCAAAACACTTTTTTTTCCTCGTTACATTTTAGTCTCAAAAAGAGGACCTTCATTTTCCTCAGAGCGAGAATCTAAAGGCCTCATCTTTTACTCTGCCAGAGTAGTGAAAAACCTTAGTGTAACTGAACTATGCTATAGGCTCTCCTAGTGAGAAGCGATAGGAAAACGAGATCTTTGGTGGCCAAGACTCTCCTAAAGAACAAAGGCAACAAATCTCCATCCAGTGGGAAATTCCACCTGCCTGCATGAAAAAAGATGAATACTACCTCTTCCTTATGCAGTGCTTTTCATCTGGCAGTATCAAAAGCACTTTCCTTAGAGAGGTCAATAAGACTTTCCCCTCTTGTGCAATGAGAATATTCAAGCACAGAGAAGTGGGATTTGGGAGCAGGACACTAACAACAAGTCTATGAGGGAACTGTAACTAGGAAAGGCCTCTAAGGCCCCACTTCCATGTTCCAAACAATTGTTAAATCTGAAACTGTTTGTAAACAGCCCATGAATCCTAGATGGGGAGAAACTAAAAAGACGTGGAGGTTTAACTAGGTAAACTTAGTATGCAACCAGACACCCAATAAGGATTATTTAGTTAAGAAAATGGACAAATTGAGGGATTAGATAATAAAAGGAACGGTCTTTTGATGGGTCTGAATGAATTCAAGCAGCATGGGCCTGATGAACTTCATCCCACGGTACTGAAGAAACTGGCAGAGGTGATCTCTGAGCCCATGGCAGTAATATTTATGAAGTCATGGTAGACAGGTGAGATACCAGAGGATTGGAAAAGAACCAACATACCGCCCCTTTTAAAAAAAAAAAAGGACAAAAGGGAAGACCTGGGGAACAATATGCTGGTTAGCCTTACCTCTATACTGGGAAGTTACAGAAGCATATACTGAGGAAGGCCATTTGCAAGTATCTGGAGGAGGAGAGGCTGATCACTAAGGGTGTGGGAAACAGGCTGTATTCGATTCAGATTTGGATCTGGCCCAAAAAAACGGGGACAGTGATTGATTCATTGATTTGGATCACTGCCCCGATTCTATTTGTCTGAATCCAAATCTGAAGATTTGATGCTGATTCGGAAAATCAGCGATTTGGACATAGACACAGCTTTCAATCTTTTTTCTACATGCCCCAAGGTACCAGGTGGCTCGTGAACGCTGATATGGTGGGGTGGATGAAGCATCCCACAGGAGTGGAGGCACCAGTCACCAAGCTGGTGGGGCACGAGGGCCCCACCCCCCATGTGTTCCCCAGCAGACCCAGAAATGTTTCTGGTCCACTTCCAGGTCTACTGCTGAGCGCGCTGGAGAACCCCGCCCCCCGCACTCTTGTGGGACGCTCTATCTGCCCCAGCATCTCAGCATTCACAAGCCACTTGGTACCTTGGGGTATGTAGAAAAAACATTTAAAATTGCGTCTATGTCTGAACGGTCGAAGCTTTCTGAATCTCTCCGAATAGATTTGGAGGGATCCAATTCTATTCGGAGAGATTAAAGGGTCTCCCAATTTGAATCAGATTCAGCGATTTGGCTACCCAATCAGGCCAAATCAAATCAGCAACCAAAGCTTTGCACAGCCCTACTGATCACAAGCAGCCAGCATGAATTTACGAAAAACAAATCATGTTAAACAAACCTGATCTCCTTCTTTGACAAAGTAACTGCTTGTGTAGGTGAAGGGAATGCTGTGGATATAGTGTATCTGAACTTCAGCAAGGCTTTTGACAAGGTCCCACATGATCTTCTCATAAAACAAACTGAAAAAGGTGGGCAAGACAAAACTACTACAAAGTGGACCAACAACTGGCTCAATAGTCACAGGCAAAGAGCAATTATAAGTGGAAACTTGTAAGAATGACAGGAGGTTTCAACTACAGTCACACAGGGGTCTGCCCTGGGCTTAGGGCTGTTCAACATTCTTATGAATGGACTTGTACACTGGAACTGAAAGCTTCCAAGTTTTGTCATCTGCAAATTTGTTCAAGGAGGACTGTGAGCCATTGGAAGACAGAAGGGTAATTCAGAATGGTCTTGACAGATTGGAAAACTGGGCTGGAGCTAATGGGATGTAGTTCAATATTGACAAATGCAATGTGCTACGTATATCTTGGGAAGAATAATTGAAGACAGATAAAAAAATGGGTAACATCTGGCTGGATGGCAGCACTATGGAGAGTAGGGATCTTGGTGGATCACAGACTCAATGAGTCTGCAGTGTGATGCTGCTGGAAGTGTAGTTTTGGGCTGCATCAATAGAAGCATTAGGTGCAAGACACAGGAGGTGGTAGTCCCTCTCTACTCGGCACTGGTTAGGCCTTATTTAGAGTAGTGCGTGCAGTTTTGGGCTCCATATTTCAAACAGGATGGAAAAATTAGAGAGAGTCCAGAAGCAGGTGACAAAAAATGTTAGAGGTCTTGAAAGGCGAGTCATATAAGGAGAGTTGAAGGAAATAGGTATGTTCAGTTTGTGGGAAAGGTACTTCAGAAGGGACATGATAGCAGGCTTCAAATGCTTGAAGGGCTGCCATAAAAAAAAGAGGGAAAATACCTTCTCTCTTGCTGCAAAGAGCAGGATATGAACTAGTGGCATGAAGTTGCAGCAAAGTAAATTTAGAATGGATATCTGAAAAAACTTGTTCCCTGGAGTAGACTGCCCAAGGATGTTGTGGAATCTCCATCACTGGATATGTTCAAGAAGAGGTTTGACAAGCATTTGTTGGCAGTGATTTAAGTGTGGGTATGCCTATGCTTCAGTATTTATTTCTCATGTTTCTGGGCTTTACTGGTTGCCATATGGGGCCAGAAAAGAATTTTCTCCTCCTCCTGTTGCTATGCATCAGGGTTTGGTTATTTTGGCCTTCCTCAGCAGCACTTGGTTATAGCCAAGTCTGGGGATGAAATAGGGTGTGCCACAGGTTTTTGGCTAGAGGGTCTTGCCTGTCAACTCAGGGTCACACTGATCACCATAGTTGGCATCAGGAAGGAATTTTACCCTATGGTCAGCTTGGTAAGGTCTATGGGGGTTTTGCCTTTCTTTGTAGGTGGTCATGTGGCCCTTCTTGGATTTCTCAAGCACATTTCAACAACCATCTCAAAGCAGGACACTGGCCACTGTTGTCCCCCTGCTTTACCTATAGCAAATTAGGGTGTTATGCCTTGTGGTTGTGTCAGGGTTGACTGTGTAATTTTACTAATAGGTTAGACAATGGATCTGTATAGGATGGTTTGGATACAGATGATCCTGCCTTTGGCAGGGGGTTGGACTATATGACCTTTGAGGGTCCCTTCTACCCTTACTTTTCCATGAATCCAATAACATTTCTCTGGAGTTCTCCGTGGTGAACTTCTGATGTAAAAATAATTTTACCAGCACATTTTATTTTTTGCTTAGCATTTAAAATCTATAAAAATTACTTACCTAGAAAACTCCAGCACATTAAGAATTTCAAAGCTTTCTTCTTTTCCCAGCTGCAAAAATACAATGTGCTAGTTTCATAAAAGAGTATATAAAATTAATGGTGTGAATACCATGCAAGGATGCATAGAAGTACTGGGATTTTCCAGACTACACTTCAGATCGGATGTGGTAATTGCACCCTCTCCTGGTTGAAGTGGCATATTGCCCTATTTTAGTTTTAACACAAGCAAAAGGCAATTTTTACTTTTTTGCACAAATGCAACTCCAACAACTTAAACTTCTTCATTATCTTTTGAATGTCATTTCAGTGGGATTATACTGCATTGAGGAATAAATGAACCTATGGTCTGACCCAGTGAAAAAAAAATCACTGAAGCCCAGTCTGGAAAGACACCAGCTTGCTCACTGTATCCTTTTTCATTTAAGGGAGTATTCAGACCTCATTGGTAGTTAAAAATCTAAAACAATACGTAATGCATTTAATGGGAGGAAGTGGGGATGGAGGGGGGATCAATTGATGTCTTTCCTGGACCAAGTCCTAATCTTAGATACACCCATTAAATTCAGAGTTATTAATGTACCTACTCAGATACATGTGGGTATAAATAAGACCAGAATTTGGACCCTTGCCAACCAACTGGCCTACCTGTTAAATTTTCATCTGTACAACACACATCCAAGGCATACCTATCTTCAAAAACAAACTCAAAATTCAACTCTATCATCTTTCAAAATTTAGGAGTATAAAAACAACAACATATCTATATATAGTAATTTATTTTCAAACCAGGTATTTTATTTTCTTTCTTTGCTGCCCAGCTCAAGCAATCTGATTCCCAGACAAAAGTTAAATCAACACAGGCTACTGTTCCTATTACTCTACTACTTCATTACTCGCTGAAGGCCAGAACTAAGGGATTCACATCTACACAAAACATTTGCTATGGCCCTCCTGCTCTGCCAGAGCCTGTATGCCCACAGCCTGCAAGTGCACCCCTGAAAAGCTACAGATATATACCCCTAGCTTTTGAAAGCTACTATGCCGTCTAAGTCCTCTACTTACCGCATCAATAATAACTGAACGAGGAGTTCTTCCTGTGAAGATGTAGCCAAGTCTTTTTGCTCCTTTCACTAATGCCCCCTCATCTGTCAATAAAAAGAGCTTACCTTTATTGAGAATTAATTAGAAATACAGTCTGATCTAAGGGGTTGGGGGAGAAGAGAGAAGGAAAGGGCTACTACTACAAGATTGTTCTGACACTGTTTTGCCAGAATACAAGAAAATGGTCATTTCTGGAACTAGATTTCTGAAGTCTCTTTAAGAGCTAAAGCTACCTCAGCAATGCAAATATTTTCTCTCTAACCTTTAGCTCAAAGATGGTTTACATTTCCATTCCTTCTACTAACCATGCCTTGGGATTAACTGGGGTGCACACACATGCTTCCTACTTTGATTTCTGTATACAGTACTTCATACGTACTGAAAAATAAAGATCCGTTATCATGAAACAGACAGACTGTCAATTTATATAAGACTTTTCTTTAAACTTGGTCTGAAAATTAGCATGATCAAAGCTATATTCATCCAACATGAATTTAAGCCAGCTTCTGATGCAATAACAAAATTCTTGCCATGAAGTACATTGCCAAAGTGTATTGGAGACTGAAGTGGGCCTTGCAGTTAAGAGATCTGACATGGACTCAGGGCCAGAGTCAGAGCTGCAGCGGACACCTGTCCCCCCCCCATCCCCCCCCCAACCTGCTTTGTATGCAAATTTAAAGACAAGGGGCTTTTCCCCTATGCTGATTGCGGGGAGGAGAATCTCATCTTAGATTTGAGTGAATATGGTATAGACCTCCATTGCCTTGACATTACTTTGCCATTTACACATACAACAGACAGATGTAAAATGCTCCAAAACTAGAATGGAACAGACATTTTATATTCAATTCAGAGAAGCATGAAAGTGATGACACTAACAGTAGAGAATTCTCATTTAACAGACGAAGTCCTGGGAAGTTAAGACGGTCTCTCTCAAAGCCAAAGGAGTCTGTGGCAGAAGCTAACCTTAGCAAAATGAATGCTGCTTTTATAACCTCCCCAAGCAAGAAGCAGGTGAAGCATCCTGAACCATGCCCCATCCCTTTACATAGGACAGTAGAGGGAAGCACCTCCGAAGCATGTAGTCTGAAGGGCTGTGTTCTGTGTGTAGTGAGAAATTCTAGGAGATATGCATCCTGCTGTTTTAAAAATGACATTAGGAAGGAGGGCAGTATTACTGTAAAAGCATCTAAAAGCTCTTAGTTATTCACCCCAAAAGAAGGAGAAAGTGACCAACCTGGTGAAGAGGCCTGGTAGATTATTTTATTTCCTTCTCTCTCAGGAACAACAGTGTGACACACAGCCAGCAAAGTGAGGAACTCCTGTATATGAGCAGCTGTGGGCTACAAGGGATATTTCTAATTAATGCAACACATTCATTCCATGCAGACTAAATGCATAAACTGTGGTTGCATTCTGGGTTGTATTACACAATTCAGCCTGTCCAGACCTGCAATACCCTCTCTTTTTCTAATTCACTGCACTACCACTCTTTCACCTCTCCCCATAATAGTAGCATACCAAGGGCCAGCACTCCACCTACAGATGTCACAAACAAGAGTTGGAAACTAGAGCTGTTAACTTTCCAGTCAAGAAAAAGATCTCACATTTTCATGAACTCATGGAGTTTACAACTCCACAGAGCAGTGTTAACATTACCACTGGTCAAGGGAGTAGAAAATTACAATTTGGTAGCATTTACTTCAGCAAAACAATGACCCAAGGAGCAAGACCTTAGGGGGTCAGGCCCATAGAGTCTACTATTTGAGCAAGAAGTGAAATCTTAATGCCAACAGGAGGAGGAGGAGGAGGAGGAGTAAGTCCCTGTTGTTTCTTTGAACCAGCTAGGAAAGTAATGTTATGCACTCATATTATATACAAAAAACTCAAAACTTTATACAACCATGCAAAAAAAAATCTAATGAATACTCAAAACACATTAAAATACATAACCAGCAAATATATTATCCTGCTAGCACAGTAGAGGCCCTTGTAGAGCAAGAGCTATTCATTTAAAAAGAAGAGGACCTGAGATTTTTATTTAAATGTCTTAGAATAACGGTTTGCTGTGTTCCAGTTCCATGGGCTGCCAAAAAGGCGGTTAAAGAGCTATGAAGTTTTCATAGATGGAATGTTGATGAAACTGAAGGTCTACAAAACCATAATTCTCTCGACCCTCCTTTATGCCTGTGAAACCTGGACTGTCTACCAGCGTCATGTCAAGAAACTAAACCACTTCCACCTGTGCTGCCTGCAAAAGATACTAAAAAAAATCAAGTGGCAGGACAAGATTCTGGATACTGAGGTGTTAGGAAGATCAGCTCTCCCCAGTATTCACACTGTACTGAAACTGGTGCTGCTAAGATGGGCCAGCCACTTTTTAAGAATGCCAGACACTCACCTGCCAAAGAAAATCTTCTATAGCGAACTGTTAAGTGGAGTATGCTAATTGCAGCGCACCAAAGAAGTGGTACAAGGACACTCTAAAGGTGTCCCTAAAGAGTTTCAGCATTGACCCAAAGTCATGGGAGCAAATTGCTCATGACTGTCCATCCTGGAGGTCATCAATTCAGAATGGAGCACTGGCCTTCAAATAACAACACTCGGAGAAGCAATGAAGAAATGCATGGCCAGGAAAATAAAAACCTCTCCTACCCAGCATCACTTTCCTGCCCCTGCTGCAGCAGATTATTCAAGACAAAGATCAGGCTTATAAGTCACCTACATACCCACATGATCTAGCCTCCACCTCACTCCTTTCTTTCCTCTATCTCTTTTCTCCTTTTTCCTTTCTTTTCTCCCTCCCTGTTTTTCCCCTCTTTCTTTCCCATTTCTTTTCTCTCTTCTCCCCCCAGCTGGACGTGGTCATTTTGGCCCATGAAAGATGAACAATAAACAATGAAGTTTTCACACTGTGAAAATGCCTTTGGCATTAGTTAAGAGACTCAGAAGTGTTAAGATGAAAAAACTGTTACTACTCCGTATGAGTGCAGAAGTAAGCATCCAAGACAGGTGTTAAGTAACGCAACAGTGATATTTTCACATGTGTAAAGTCCAACTGAAAGTTGTAATGGAACTTGTGTTCCTAAGTCACTTTGACACTTCTGAAAATACACCTTAATTCTCTCCATTCTTCTTATTAAAGCAGATGTTTATGTACAATGCCCAACCCCACCCCCTTCCTCCAAACATGGTGCCAATGTCTACTTTTTCATAACTATAATGAAAAAAAACTGGTACTATAATAGAAGGTGCAATTTAAATTCTGCAAACCTAACAATTCGTGCACTTTTATTCCCTTTATGTAGTTAAACAATTATTCTTACACAGCTGTGTCACATACACTATAAACAGCTTTCAGAACAAATAAAAAGCCCACAGGCATGGAACTATTTTTTTTTTTAAATGTCAACAGGCTGTGTTCCCCTTTAAGAGTACTTGCCACCAGCCAATTCTTGTTTGCCAAAAATATTTTATTTTTCCAAGTAGTATCCATTAAAAATGTGTTATAGATACAAAAGAAGCAACAGTGTAACACCAGATAATGCTAGGCATTATATTTCATAATCAACATGCTTTCCAAATATTAACTAATCAATCATAACAAACCTTTTACTAGAGTGGAGTTAATGTAAAATATTCTAAGCAAGAGGCATTCAAAATTTGCTCTTCGTAGAGTGCATAGACACTAGTACTCCAACCCTGGGCTACTTCTCGTAGAACTCCTCTTCCCTTTGTGTCTGGCTCTCAGATAATTTTGAAAAATAGTGTTTTGTTTTCGGATGAAGCTAACTGGACCCATCCAGTTTGTCTGCAATCAGGGTGAGACTGTAAAGGCTAAATAAGCACCTGGTATTCTGTAACAAAAAGTAAAAGTACCTTTCTCAAGACCGCTAAAAGGATTCGGTAACATAAGCTAAGCAGAAACTTTGTTTCACTTTACGTCCAGTTTCAGAGACAAGATTAAAACGGACTCTGCAACAAACTGCAATTCTAGAATAATAATTACAGTATATACAATGGCCTACATTCTGTTTCTACATCTGTAGTCTAAAACCCTGCCATTACACATTACCTGGCTTTTCACAATAAAAAGGCCACAGAACCATATATCAGGTACAGCATGACACTTAAATAAATCACGACAAAGCAAATGTAAAAAAGATGCCATCTTAAAGAGATGCCTTTCTAAAAGAAAAAAAAAATCCCACAGCAGTCCTAATGTTTATATAGTTAGTTGCTTTATGTACGTTTTTCAGACTATTGTATCCTGCATACATTTGGCTCCGATAGTTAGACCTCAGTGGGATGGCAGAGACTCATCCTGGACTGTTTTAATTCTCATTACGTTAGGAAGTGCAATCCACAGTCAAAGACATGAATAGATGGCATGTGATCATAATGAAATGCGAGAAATGCAAAGTCCGTGGCAAGTTAATGGGTAGGGGGTTGCATCCAGCTGCTGTGCTATTTCCAGTGAAAGCAGTAAAAAGTTATATCTCCTGCTCCACAAAGTAAGCAGCCTGCTGGATTCGCATTTCAGCATCTGTTGCTGCAGGCCTTTGATGTCCATTTGCAAATATATCACCTTGCCTCTTACACACTTTCACAATGCCTTTTCAGCTGATATATTATAATCTGCTTTCCACTGTTGATAGGTTTCAAAGTCTACCCCTGATTTACTTATACCAAGCCAACTCTTTCATTTGTGCTGTTTTCACAGTTTACAATGGATTATGTGGCTGCCTTCCTGTTCTAGAGCAACAGATCACCAAACGAGTGAGGCCCAGCTTATCACTGCAGCTCTTGTATCCAGCTGTCATTTGCCTTCTTACTATATTGTTCTGACACTGACACATTATTTATTGTACCAGCAAATGTCAAGAGATAGTTCAAAATGCTGCTTCAAATTATGTGAAAAGATCTTCATATTCCTTAAGGGTTTCTAAGATGATACTTCCCATTCTCATTTGAAGTCTAAACACCCTGTATAAATCTTCACAGGTTAACAGTGTCTGCTTTACAGAGTTTTACTTTATTAAAGCATTTCCTAACCTGTTTATTGTTGAAATGCTCCCTAATGATGGGGTCACAGGAGTACATCTTTTTGTTGGGCCATAGGGCTGGCCATGCTACAGATGCTGCAACTGTTTTTTTTTTGTTTTTAACTCTCAGTCTCTCCCCCCTCTGCACCCACCACTTCTAGTCTCCCCCATTTTTTTACTCCTCATATCTAGACTTATTTCACTACTTAGCTGCCTCATGATAGCTCTTACCACCGAGTTTTAAGTCTTCTCTTTCCCAGGCCCCAATCATCCCTGTTACAGCTGGTTTAACTCAAACGTTGATGCATAGAAGCAGAGATCTGTTTGACCCACCTATCCTAGTTTCAACCTGGAATATATAAACCTTACCCAAGTACCCCTAATGGTCCAGATTCTCAAAATCACATGCACTGCATCCACATATGTGAGCAACTCAGGATATGTGCACATGTGCAGAAACATGGTTTGTACAACTCCTAGTTTACAAACATTTTAATACCTTGATTGGACTGTCAGGTGGACTGAACCCCAGATTGCTTGACATAACAATAAGAGCCTTTACTGAAGGGGTGTGTTCACTGGGTAATTATTTGGGCCAGAGGGCCACTTCAGGAGTTTGATGAGCTGTTACAGGCTGGATCGACATCATCCTGCAGCAGCTCACCAAAACTCCCAAAGTGGCTCTGCCCTGGGGCCTGTCCCTGTGCTGTCACCACCCAGCAATCCCAGGGTCTCTATGGAGCCTGGCCCGGGACCCATGCGAGCAGGGTCTGCTCAGCTGGACAGACGGAATTAAGCCATGGGCAGGTGGGAAGCCACGGCAGGGAGTGGGACAGGAGGGCTGGGCTAAGGCTGGGATCAGGATCACGAGGCAGTAACAGTATGGGGCTAGGGCCTGGGGAAGAGCCAGAATCCACTCCCTGCACATCTCTGCCTGTACAATTGGTGCGTGTTTCACGGGCATGTGGGCAGATTGTGGCTCTGCCCTGGGCCCTAGCCCCATGCTGTCACTGCCCCATGACCCCAGTTCTGATCCCAGCCCTGGCTCCAACCCCACCTGCCCACCCTGCTCCCGGATGCTGCTCCCTGACCCCATGCCAGCCTCCATGGAGACCTCAACCTGTCTGCTCGATCCATCACCCTCAACAGTGGTGTGGAGCAAGGGGGCTAGGGTGCCCAGACAGCTGGGCTGGGTCCAGCTACAGTGATGGAGACTGGCAGTGGCAGCTGGAAGAAGCCACCACTGAGGGGCCTGCTGGGAAGCTGAATCTGGCTGCCATGTCATCCCAGTCCTGCTG